GTTGTGTAAATAATGTATAATATTAATTCATGAATACTTTAACCGCTATTTATTATGTTTAATTATCATATAATAATTAAGAAATATAATTAACTTGTTTACAGTTTTTATTAAATATATATTTTTCGTGTGATTTATATTACTTTTATGAGTGGTGGTGAGTATGTGTTGTATGAGCGCCGGTAGGTCGTAGTCAATCATCTCATCGATCGAGAACTTCCAGAATTCTGTGTCTAAACCATGAGATATAATAAAATAATGTTCAAGTTTTTAAAATAAAATTAATAAAAAAATACACAATTCCAATATATATTTAAAACTGTACACAATTAATTATTAATAATAAGTACTGTAAAATAATTTTAAACTTTATAATAAACTATCTATTTTTATATTTGACTCATACACTTAACTTTTGGACATGTGTTTGCTTTGTCCGGTGTTTGTTAAACCACTTGTGGTTATCACTCGGAAATTACGGTACATTTAATACAAACTTTCGTAAGTATTGTATAAATTAAATATAAACACAATTCGTTGCATTCATTATAACTATCAATGACTTTATCACATCATATGGTTCACGTGATTGCCCTAGATATGATTTGTTATTTTGTGTTTTGAAAATATTAATAAAAGTTATAAAAAATTATTTGATATGATTCATTAAATATATATATATTTTTCCTTCATAATTATTTTTGGAAAAAGTTAATACAGTATTATCATTGCAAATTATTTCAATAATTAAAGTTTTTACTAATTATATGAAGATTATATATTTACAGTAATTATTTATTACAGTTTTTAATGTTATATTAATTAAAAATTATTTTTGAAAAATTAAAATAAATTTATTTGAATCTAATATAATAACATTATATACACAAACCTTTACTCGTATACACGGTATGGTTAAGTGAGTATACATTACCCCTCATATTACGGTTGGTCTGTAGTATAGGGACACACCGGTTGTGCTTGCCGTTCCATAATGGATGGAAAGGGGAGGCCAGGCCGAGTGACATGAGCGGTAAGGATGAGTCAAACGGCCGACTCCACTACTCGGTTGCCTTATCGGAGCTCTGAAAGCCGTGCTGTAGTAGGACTGGCCTTAGGGATGACCTGTCCTTTACGTATGGGTTGACTATCCGGTTAACAGTTAGGATATAGCCGTCATGGCTGAGGTGATGAGCCAACCCTTATCGGAGCTCTGAAAGCCGTGCTGTAGTAGGACTGGCCTTAGGGATGACCTGTCCTTTACGTATGGGTTGACTATCCGGTTAACAGTTAGGATATAGCCGTCAACAGTGGTTATGTAATGTGTTTCCGATTGAAAACCACGAGATTCTATGATTTGTACCTAAAATATACAGAATATTCTGTTTTAAAAAAGTTATTAATAAGAAATTATAAACACTATCTTATGATAATCACGAGCATACCGGTGCTATAGTATACAGTTTTTGTATTATGTTTAGTTATTTGATTTATTTTAATTGTATTCATTAATAAGTACTCAAAACGGATGTAAGTCTCAGACATTCAGACATTTAGACATTGGACTATAAATTTTGTAATTAATTTATGTTTGATTATACAGTTTATTAGAAAGAATTGCATTATAGCTATAAATGTGTAAATGTTTTCAACACTTTGAACACCGATTTGTTTATATAAAATAATTTATGAAATCAAATACCACTGCTCTCTCTCTCTCTCTCCCCTCTCTCTAAATACTTCATAATAAAGTAATTATAATAATACAGTATAGTATAATCTTTGCTAGCTACATTTTTTCAAATTAAAATTTTATTAATATATAAATTTAAAATATTTCTAAAATTCATACGGAAGTTCGAATAGTATCCAGGTCATGGTAGTATCCGGGCAAGTATTTAAGTCCAGCAATCATATAGTCACCTACCGGTGCTAAATATATAGCAAATAGCACCGTCAATATAGCCGAGTATTTGATAATTTTACGTGAATTTAATTTCACAAAACTTTCAACACATGAATAATACATAATTAAAATAATTATTAAATAAACGAAACTTATAAGATAAAAATAATTATCAAGGAACACTTAAAAATGATCAAGAACAAAAATCAGTTAAACGGGTAATTATGTAATAAACTTTTATAAAAATAGATTTTTAAGTCGAAATCACATCTTATTTATAGATTTAATGAAAATAATAATAATAATAATAATAATAACGAAAATAAATAACATTTTTCGTTGATTAGACTTAAAATATGTTTTTAGGTTTCAAAACATTTTAGTTTTATATAAATATTTTTTGATATAACCAAAATAGTTTTCACTGATAACTTAACTTGAACACGAGTATAAGGTGTAAACTCAATAACAAATAAATACAACAATTTTTTATATCGATTTCAAAGCCTATTATAGCGTTTATAAACTGATAATCAATTTTTTTGTGTTACTTATTTGCATCGCAACAAAAATTATTTAATATTTTCATTTACAGTTCATACATAACCTGTGAATACAGTGAGGGAAACGGTATGTATTGTCTCGATGAGTACATTAAGTAGTTATGATACAACTATTTGTATGACATGTGTATTATCAGTTTAACAGCGAAATTGAACTAGCACAATTTGTTTATGTCCATTATGAACTACAGTTCCGAACATATTGAGTGTGATCGAGAAATTTATGATAACCTTCGGAATCAACACCAAGATGAATTTAATAAATTGATCGGCGACTTGAAAATTGATCAAGCAACAATTGGATTCTATTAAGAAAATTATATTGGAGATCAGGTATTGCTCTATTAACACATGATTACATGATTACATTGTAATCCGGGCCATATTAACAGTTACAAAACTTTAATTGTTATAACATTAGTCAGTATTGAGATTAATGTTAAAATGTTTAAAGTTTTGTCACTCATAGTGGGCGCGGATTTGTACTCGATAATAATAATAATAATAATAATAATAATAATAATAATTTATCCTAATAACCATAATAAATTAAAAATATAGCATAATAACTTCAATTTTAAAAAATTTAAGTTACTTGTACATTTAGATACAATAGAGGGGCTACCATAGAAACTAGTCTGGATACTTTTTAATAGTTGTTGGCGGACTAATGGATGCCGTGGGATTAGGCGCACCATTAGGTTTTATAGCAGTAGGAGCTGGATACATTTGGCGTAGCATAGATGGGTACCTTATTAAAAGGAGACACATTCACTAATATTGTTGTAGATGAAATTGGTTTAGCAATTACAATTTGCGTAATTATTAATCATTTACAATTATAAGTTTGGCATAAACTAAATTTAATAATTAAATATCTTTATTGCTATAAATTTTAGATTTAATTTTATAATTTTATATAATTTCTAAAAATAAACATTTTATTTCAAAAATAAAGTTTAATGACATTTGTGTAAAATCTCCAGTATTTTTGTGTTGACGTATTTGCCGACATCCTGGGCCCACATTAGCTCCATGTGGTTCCACGTGGTGTCCGGTACTAAATAGTCGTCCATTAGTTTCACTGCAAATAAAACATTAAAAAAATAATTAAAATTTTTAATTTATGTAAAACTATTGTCAAAAACCTTTGAGTGTTTTCTTAAGCAAATTAATGTCTCGAATATCGTTCAACCAATCGTTGGCCGCATATATGAGTGCAATGTTTGTCGAGTTTATGACCGATAAGTCGTATTCCGGGGGAACTGACTGTCCGTATCGGCGGATATTCTCTTCGGTTCCCAAATTGAATTTTACGGGT